TGTCGTTGGTCAAGCCTTCCCCTGCTCCTGCTCCTGCTCCTGCTCCTGATTTACAATGGCATGGACTTGTGCGCGGCGTTTCGTCATCCAATTCAGCAAACTTTTCGGGATTCTGGACCATTTGCTGCAGTAGTCGGAAATTACAAACGGCTTCACGCAAATCGAAATGAGCTGCCAAAAGGTGGCTCACCCTCGATCGGGTATTGGCGTTCGGGTAATGTTGATTGCATACGGCTGAAGGCTGATGAAGACCGTCTTGATCCAAGTGAACGTCGGCATAGCCGGGGGCGTTGGGATCAGGAGAATCGGCGTTGGGATAAGGAGAATCGGCGTTGTCGGGCCCGACCGGCACTTGGCAATAAAAACCCATCCCTCCGATGTTCTTGTAAAAATGCCCAAGCTCGCTGTCGTTGCGCGTGGCCTTCTCAATCGGGACATCTAGCAACAGTTTCAGGCACTCGGGAGGAGGAACGGCAGTCATGGCCTCACGGGTTAGGATGCGGCCTAGGGGCACGTCGGCGTAAAATTGGCACCAAGCTAGGGATCCACCAAAGAGAGACTGTAAGCGTAGGATCCGCGCAGGTTCTTCGGCCTTGCTCTTGCCTCTTTTCTTCTTGGAAGGGGTGAAGACCGATTCGGAAGCAATTATGCGGAGGTTATGTGGAGTCAGAGGTGTTGCCGTGGACCCGGGGTTTGACCCAGGATTTAGTGTGGATTGTGCTGGACCATGAGAGGATGATGTCGATTCTGAGAGTGTATTGGACGACAATGAAGGCGCAGCATATCCTCGAAATTGAGTAAAGTCTGGCCATATCGATGTTGCAGGAAGATTGATTGGTTGATAGGGGGACTGACTGGAAGAGGGATAAGCGCCGAGTTGTGGCGACGATACCGAGCGGCCATAGACGGGCGGTTGGAAGGAAGTCGGCTGACCACTGTTGCGCCGCTTCCGATGGTGTTCTGAACCAAAGTCATTAGGATTCGACGGATCAATAGCATCGCTTCCAAGGGTGTAGTTGGGATGTGCCAGGGTGTCATACTGTTGTTGTATTTGTTGATGTGTCATCCAAAGTTGAGGATTGTACTGCTGTTGTTGAAATGTGTTTAGGTGTGGATGGTACAACTCCTGGGGGTGTTGATGTTGCCCTTGTACGATGTTTTGGTGAATATGGTGTTGCATACCCGGTTGGCTCTGCGTATACATCGGTGAAATTACTTCTGCTTGTCGCATGAACGGGTTGTGCATGGCCAGTGTAGAATTGGAGGCGGTTGGCTGAACTTCAGAATATTGTTGCTGCTGTCGATCGCGATGTGGTGACCCAATAATCTGTTGCTGCTGTCGATCACGGTGTGGTGTCCCAAGAATCTGTTGCTGCTGTCGATCACGGTGTGGTGTCCCAAGAATCTGTTACTGCTGTCGATCACGGTGTGGTGTCCCAAGAATCTGTTGCTGCTGCCGATCACGATGTGGTGACCCAAGAATCTGTTGCTGCTGTCGATCACGGTGTGGTGTCCCAAGAATCTGTTACTGCTGTCGATCACGGTGTGGTGTCCCAAGAATCTGTTGCTGCTGCCGATCACGATGTGGTGACCCAAGAATCTGTTGCTGCTGTCGATCACGGTGTGGTGTCCCAAGAATCTGTTGCTGCTGTCGATCACGGTGTGGTGTCCCAAGAATCTGTTACTGCTGTCGATCACGGTGTGGTGTCCCAAGAATCTGTTGCTGCTGTCGATCACGGTGTGGTGTCCCAAGAACCTGTTGCTGCTGCCGATCACGATGTGGTGACCCAAGAACCTGTTGCTGCTGTCGATCACGGTGTGGTGACCCAAGAACCTGTTGCTGTTGTCGATCACGGTGTGGTGTCACAGAGACCTGTTGCCCAAGTTGAGCATCGTGGCGTTGATAGTTTTTTCTTGACTACATAGCCAAAAGCAGTGAAAAGGAGCGTAAGAACAAATGTAACACATATGATGAAAAAAGCGTGCAGAGTATAATTTTGCAAATACCTACATAACTTCCGGTCTGGTGAATGTTTGGGGAGGATGATTCTCTCACATTTGCGGCACGAGCAGCACCACCCGTAGTGACAGTGGCGGTGGTAGTAGTGGTGATAATGGTCTTGCTACCTTGACCTTTGTCTCGCTGCTGCACTTTATGTTTCTGTGAGGCGAGCCGCTGTGCAGCCTGATATTCGCCACGTTGGTCGCTCTCAGTCGACTATTGGACCATGAGAAGTGATAGTGTTAGTATAAAAGGTGCCATTTTTAAAGAAAGAGAGAAGTGATAAGCACAGTTTATCAAAGTACATACATAACTTCCGGTCTGGGGTATATTTGCGAAGACAGGTTCACTGGTAGATGCAGTATGACCATTATCAGCAGTGGTAGTATTTGAGGACCCATTGAAATCGTCCGTCTCCTGTTGACCTTGGAGGTGTCGAGAGGGTGCTAGAGGCAATCGATTCTTTTGTACATTGGCCATGGCCACTTGTTGCAGCTACGGAACCATTTGAAGTGAGTCTGGATCAGATTAATAAATTTACGTCTTAAGAGAAAGATGATTCTCCATCCGCTAAAACCCTTCTCGCAGTTGATCTCAGGAATAAATGCACCTATGGTGAACGTCAACACTTACCGAAGGAAGTCCGTCGTGCTCATCTTCATTATCGGATGCTTGCCTTCGTTGGTCGTAATGCTGCTGTGTAGCTAAGTGACGTTGGACACTCCTAGTAGACTTTTTAATGAATTTTAATATTAGCGCCAGTAAGAGATGTTCTATCCACAAATTCGCTTATCCAAGTGTCCACTTACAGGTGATTTTGGTAACCTCGCATTTTTGTTCGCGCTGAGTTGTGAATCACCACCATTCGAGACGCCACTACTGGGAAAAATGTCGTAGGTGCTATTATTACTCCGTGGATCACCGTACTCATTGTCATCTCCTCGATCTGATTCAATATCGCCGGCTCTGTCGTCCTCAGAATGGAACTCCTCGTTGGTCCTGTCAAAAGCAGATTCATCACTTTTTCTGCTCCAGTCTTCGTTCCATCCATCCCTACTGCTCTCTTTCGCATCATCATCGCTCTGTTGCCAGCTTTCGCAACCGTCCGATGGAGAGTTGGTTTGATCATCGTCCGTTATGACGTGTCTCATTTGAGCAAAAAACAAATGAGTGTGTGTGTGTGTGAGGGGGGGAGAAAGAACAGACAAAGATAAACGGCTACGTTTCAATGGGCCATGTTATCCTTTCACTAGAGGGAGGTTGATTAAACTGAAAGAAACCTGTATATTTAGAAATCGCTCTCTATTGGTCGAACCTTGTTTGACCTGATGTCCCAATTCTTTGACCTGATGTCCCGATTTCTTTGACCTGATGTTGACCTGTTGTTGGTGTGACAAAAAAGAGAATTGACCTGTTCTTTCAATTTCTAAGCCACCACTTGACCTGTTATCAGCCAAATGTACCACAACTCAACCTGTTCTCACATCAGCCCAGACCTCTGGTTGTGACCCTTGTGTGCGGGCCGTGTAAAAAAAGAGGGGTGAAAATGTACTGTCTATTCTAAAAATTGCTTTCAAATGCCCTTAAGTAACGCCGCCGAAAGAGAAAAAAAAAGAAAGAGAGAGGAGATGTTGTTCTTTCGAACAAATCTATAGAACAATGGGCTTAATCTCAGCAGATCATAGCAACAAGGCTACTCTACTGCTTACAATACCCCGTTCAATTAAAGTCGTCTGCAATGGATTTATCTCTTCCAATATTTGAAATTAACATTAGCAGGAACCTCACAAAGCCTTTCCGCTCTGCAAGATAACCCCACGTAGTATGATTCAGGATCTGAGGATCTATTCGTATTCAACTAAAAATTGGAAAAGGCGGTAATCGTCGCGTTCTAGCACGGGTTCTGACTTAGAGGCGTTCAGCCATAACCCAACGGATGATAGCTTCGGGCCATTACCTACTCAGGCAGGCCCAAATACCAATTATCCGAATGAACGGTTCCTCTCGTACTAAGTTCAATTACTATTGCAATAACATTTCATCCGTAGGGTAAAACTAACCTGTCTCACGACGGTCTAAACCCAGCTCACGTTCCCTATTAGTGGGTGAACAATTCAACACTTACTGAATTCTGCTTCAGTATGATAGGAAGAGCCGACATCGAAGGATCAAAAAGCAACGTCGCTATTAATGTTTGGCTACCACAAGGCAGTTGTCCCTACGTCCGTACATGATATTGTTCCTTGTCAAATAAATGGGTACATTGCCGTACGAACCTGGTACATGTCAGAGCGATATGAAAGGCAATGCAGAAGGCAAGCAAAAGGCAAGGCAAATTACATAGCACAAGCAAACAAACTATGTTCAAGGTGTTCGGGGCAGTCTCTACTTTCAACTCGCAGTCTCTAACCATACCCTGGAATTTTTCCTCAGTTCCCTTGAAATTTTCTTTGTGCAACCATGATCGTTCAACTTCATCTCATTCTTGTTCACTTCATACTCGCCGAACTGTTGAGGTTGGGTGCTGCAATGGAGCAGCACCCCTTTTTCTTTTGACAAATTGAAAACCATGTGATCTAGCTGACCATTATAATAGCCAGAAAGGTCAACCTGAATAAAACACCTCTCTTTCCTCCCATTATTTTTCTCGCCTTCACACTGGTGAGTTTCACTGTTTGCAGCAGAACGTCACTGTCATCTTTGTCATTTCGTTCTTTCTTTACATTTTCCTTTTCCTCATTCCTACATCGTTATCGTACCTTTCTGCGACCTCATTATTAGTGTCCTCATCATCATCCTCGTCACACTTGTTACAATCCTCCTTATGAATAAGATGTTGCGGACACATCCTCTCGATCTACATGAGATTCGCTCAATAATTGCCAGCAGCCTTGGCCTCAAAGACCTCGCGTCCTGTGCGCGTGTGAGTCAGGATTGGAACGACTTATTTACACCGCCACTCTACAACTTTGTCGTATTGTCGAATCTTGGCATCAGCATGGAATCTGTCGAGAAAAGCAAGCACCTTATACGACGCCTGGAGATCCAGAGATCTGCCTATGAAAAACAATCATCGACAACCGCACAAGACAATGCAGTTTTGAGTGTCATGGCTAGCTCAACTCTGACCACTTTGATCTTGAAGGACACCTTGATCGGAGACAATGGAGCCCAGGCGCTGTCTGAGGCACTCAAGACCAACTCGACTCTGATCACTTTGAACTTGCGGGGCAACGGGATCAGAGACGACGGAGCTGAGGCACTGTCTGAGGCACTCAAGACCAACTGGACTTTGACCACTTTGCACTTGGACATCAACTGTATCGGGCACAAGGGAGCTGAGGCACTGTCTAAGGCACTCAAGGCCAACTCGACTCTGACCACTTTGAACTTGCGGGGCAACTTTTTCTCGATCGGAGACAACGGAGCACAGGCGCTATCTAAGGCACTCAAGATCAACTCGACTCTGACCACTTTGAACTTGAAAAACAACAAGATCGGGCACAACGGAGCTGTTGCGCTGTCTGAAGCACTCAAGACCAACTCGACTCTGACCACTTTGAACTTGAAAAACAACGAGATCGGGCACAACGGAGCTGTTGCGCTGTCTGAGGCACTCAAGACCAACTCGGCTCTCATCACTTTGACCTTGAACTACAACTTGATCGGAGACAACGGAGCACAGGCGCTGTCTGAGGCACTCAAGACCAACTCGACTCTGACCACTTTGAACTTGCGGGGCAACGGGATCCACGACGACGGAGCTGAGGCACTGTCTGAGGCACTCAAGACCAACTCGACTCTCACCACTTTGCACTTGGACAGCAACTGGATCAGGCAAAACGGAGCTGTTGCGCTGTCTGAGGCACTCAAGATCAACTCGACTCTGACCACTTTGAACTTGCAAAACAACAAGATCTGAGCTGTTGCGCTGTCTGAGGCACTCAAGACCAACTCGACTTTAATCACTTTAGAATTGCGCAGCAACTCGATTGCGGAGAATGGAGTGGCGCTGACCAAGATAATGTTAAAAATACTATAGGAATCTCAGAACTTACCCCTGTAACGTGACTTACGCACTCTGAATCATCTCTGTTTCTGATGTTTCTATCTTTTTTTTCTTCTGTATCTTACTTACTCTGATCTTTTCGTTTGTGTTTTCCTCTGATCTTTTTTTTTTTGTGTCTTGCTCTGATTTTTTTTTTCTATGTCTTACTCGGATCGTTTTTTTGGGTGTCTTACTCGGATCGTTTTTTGGGTGTCTTGCTCTGATCTTTTTTCTTCTGTCTTTCTGACCTTTTTCTTTCGCTCTGCTTCTTCCTCTTTTAAATTTATCTAACAAGGACAACGCACGTCAATCGACACCCATTATTTTTTCCTTTCTTTCTTTTCTTTCTTTGGGCAACAACGACAATTAATCAGCGCACCTACCTCTTTTTTTTACAACAACAAATAGGGGGTCCCTATCAGCAACAACCACGCATGCATTCCCTCTTTGATGCGTTTGCCTCTTTTCAATTCTGTTTTCGACTGTTTTTCTTGATATGACCGACACTGTTGCTTTTGATGCTCTTTGCAATGACTGTGCTCAGACAGCTACTGATTTTTTTGCGGCACAGAACAATGAGTAAGTGTTTTTTCATGTTTCTACATATGCGTGTGTGTTTTGAGTGTATGGCTTTTTTCTAATAACGGACTCTTGCGTGTGTTTGTTATTTTTGTGTTTTAATAGCGTATATCCAATCGATTCGGTATCTACTGTAATCGGATTTGCGCCGCGTGGTTCAAGGTCTGAGTTGGAGTCGTCCTCTGATTCCTTATGTGATGATTCGTTAGGGTACGATAGATGGTGGCAAGAATGGCAAGAAGACATGTGGTATAAATTGGACCTTGATTTTATTATGATGGGCCGGGAAGAGGAGGAGGAGGAGGGGGGGGAAGGTTGACGCTGCCTATGATGAGTATCTTGAATATGAATGTGGCATGATCGATAGTGCGATCGAATTATTTGTATCTGTTTCTGCACAAACGGCCCAAATGGATCTGAAGATGGATGGCTAAGATCTGGTTACATCCAAATAGCATAATGTTCGCACAAATTAAATTGTCAGGGTACAGCATATGTGAGTATGTGTAACGTGTATTCGTATGTGCTTTTGCATTTTCGCACGGGTACCGAAAAATAAAGGGTTGGTGCAAAGGGAAGCGGGGTGTGATTGAGCATTGGCCGTATCCCAATTTTTTTTCTTCTATTTCTGTTGGTTGGTGTATGTTGGTATGTGAGTTGGTTTGATCCCATCTACTCTTTTTTTTTCTTCCTATGCGCATTCATTTACACTTTAGCTGTATTCAAGGCGGGCGGGTGATGACAGCGGCGAGCGTTGGCTTGCGTATTGGTTTATTTTCAAACTTTTTTTTCTGTTTATTTTTGCGGTTGTGTTTATTGCGCGTTTCAAGTAAAATAATTAATTCGGACAGCTAAGTAAACGAATGTCATTTTCCGATTAGACCACTAATCAATCATTCCGATTAGAGGGCTAATTTTTTACATGACACAATGCTTTGCTTGGTCAATGCTTGGAACAGAGCGAATAACGACCTAGGAATAGTTTATCACTTAGTGTTTTGAGATGAATGTTTGACCTCAAAACATTAAGGGTTAAGCTATTCAAGCAAGGTAATGCTGGCTACGCGAAGTGGTGTAAAAACTGTCCTCTCTCCCTCACAAATCTCCACAAAAAATATTTCCGCTCCATGAGCAATGAAAATGAAAATGAAAATGAAAATTTTCTTGATGGTGTCAGATTAGAATTCGAAACAGTTCGAAATAAGAATTCGAAACAGTTCGAAATAAGAATTCCCCGATTTGAGACTATTCTCCCATTAGATAGAAAAAATTTTACATCATTTTATTTGAAACGCGCAATAGTATGCATATGTACTTCGCCCATACTGCAGGCTGGCATAAAGAGCTCGATGAAGTGGGTAAGGTTGCACAGGTTAGTTGTAACGTAACTTTTTTTGATGTGCTATCTTTGGGTGTGCATGATGTTGTTCCTTCAACTGAACCGTGGATGTTTCGGCATTTCAAACGGACGTTTCGGCATTTTACATGCAGATCAAATTGGACTGTTGATCAGCATTCATTTTTTTTCCAGAAAACCAGATCTGTTTATCACGTTTACGTGTAATCCAAAGTGGCCCGAGATCACCGATCATCTCCTAGGACGACAAACAGCTACCGACCGTCCTGATTTAACAACTCGGGTATTCGCCGCCAAACTTAGATCCTTACTGGATGATCTTTTGCTATACGACGTTTTGGGCAAGGTTTGTGTACAAACAGTTTTGTCTATTTAATGCCCTTTCTTTTTTTTTTATCTGTTTGAGCAATGTCATGTTATCAAAACTAATTAGTACATATATCGCTTTACTTTATGTAAGGTTATTGGATGGTGTTGGGTTATAGAGTTTCAAAAGAGAGGTCTACCTCACTGTCACATTCTGCTCATTCTGGATCCCAAAGGCAAGCCCAAGACACCTGCTTACTTCAATACAATTGTCTCGGCGGAGCTTCCAGACAAAACCAGTCATCCTCTCACCTATGCAAGCGTTACTTGCACTATGATTCATGGACCCTGTGGCGAACAGCACAAGAACGCTCTCTGTATGGTTGAGGGTACCAATGGCAAATGGTACTGCTCAAAAGGATTTCCGAAACCCCTCAGAGACACGACCATTGGACAGGAGGATGGCTATCCATTATACCGACGGCGCAGTGGACCCTGTCACATAACCCGCCGTAATCAGCAAATCGACAACTCTTGGATCGTTCCCTACAATGCTTGGCTGACTACTAAGTACGATGCTCATATCAATGTCGGGATCTGCAACTCAGTCAAGGCTGTGAAGTATTTGTATAAATACGTTCATAAAGGACATGATCGCGCCAAGGTATTGTCTCACTTTTTTTTTATTACGTTAAATAATGTCATATCTTTACCTACCATAGTAGATTTAATTATGCTTTATATTTTCTTTTTTAACTTCCAAGGTTGGAGTTGCCAACGCGTCCGCTCGAGATGAAATAACAGAATATATTGACGCCAGATACGTCTCAGCCTGTGAGGCAATGTGGAGACTGCTGAAGCTGCCCATGCATGGACACTCACCTAGCATTATTCGACTGCAGGTGCATCTACCAGGACAACACTTGGTCACCATAAAAAAAAAAGGGCGCGACACTAGAACATGCCGTCAACAAAAATAGCGACAGTATGCTTATGGCATATTTCACCCTCAATGCTCACAACAACAACGCCCATCAATACACCTACTACCAACTACCCGAGCATTATGGTTTTGATCATCAGACCCGATCTTGGCATAAACGACGACTTCGACACGACACCATAGCACGCATGTACACCGTACACCCAAAGGATGGAGAACGATACATGCTTAGAGTGCTACTCATGCATGTTACCGGCGCTAAAGGCTTTGAGGAACTCAGGACGTACAAAGGCATCATCTATCCTTCTTTCTGGGCTGCCGCTCAAGCACGGGGTCTTTTGACAAACGATGCTGAATGGATCAACTGCTTAAGAGAAGCAAATGCGCTACAACACCCACGACATCTCCGATACCTATTTGCAATGATCCTCTGTTGCTGCAGCCCATCCGATCCAAAGAAGCTCTGGACTCTATATGCCAACGACCTGTCTGCCGACTTTCTCTATAAGGTGAGTTATAATCATATATATCACAATAAACGAAAAGAACACAAGTACTCGCCATCCCTGGATGAACAGATTCCGCTCTTTGTTTTATTAGCCTTACACCTATTGCGCCTTGCAACCAAAATAATTAATTCGAACAACTAAACCCTGATTAAGTTGCTGTTCACAACTAAAATTTTGTTCCGCGCCTGTGTACACTCCGCTCTCCACTGAATTTTGTTGGATTAGTTTTAATTTTTTTGCCTCATTTTGTAAGAAAGGCACAATACTGTTGATATTACTCTACTATTATTTAATATTTTTCATAAGGCGCAACAATGTTAACTCTACAGTCCTGACGATCCACAAGCCATAATTGATGCCAGATACAATGCACTCTTCCATATCAACAGTTTACTCAACGATATGGAATCGAGCCTCGACAAATACCCAACCATGCCTCAACACACACACGACAATATTATCAATTATCCCTGGAACAACACTACCAGCCAAGATCGTACTCACCATGAACCAACAGTACAGGAATATGCACAACTAGCAACAATCCACCTTCGTCTGTTAACACCTGAACAGGCAACTGTCATCAACACAATCATCGCTACGATCTCCTCAAGGACATTTAAGCGACTATTTTTTATTGATGGCCCTGGAGGAACAGGAAAAAACTTTTTATATAATACTCTTATCGAGTACATACGCGGACATCAACAAAGGCCGGTCGTAGTCGTCGCATCTTCAGGAATCGCCTCAATAATCTTGCACCAAGGACATACAGCCCATACAGCATTCAGCATTCCCCTCAACATAACCGACAAAACAACAACTTTCCTTACCAGAAATAGTATCCTTGGTAAAGCCGTCATCAATGCAGCAGCTGTCTTTTGGGATGAGGCGCCCATGCTTCACAACAAAGTATTTGAGGCAGTCGACAAAACGTTTCGCCACTTGACAGAGGCAACAAACATACCGTTCGGCGGCAGAGTTATCGTATTTGGAGGCGACTTCCGACAGATACTCCCAATCGTTTTACATGGATCAGAGTCCGACGTCATAAATGCATCCTTAAAAAAATCAACAACTATCTGGAACCATATCACCGTCCTCAAGCTCACCAAAAACTTAAGGATCAGAAACAACGACGAGCATCAACCATACATCGATTACCTTCTCAGAATTGGCA